GAATTTCCCAACATGCTTTGCTGTCGATCTATTTTCATCCATTGTTCTGGGCACTTAATGGGCCTGTTTGGCTAGAAACCTATATCCTTCTGTTATAGGAAATTTCCTCAAATTATCTCTTTCATGATTTCTCCTTTACCTCTCAATCTCTAACATATGTTATACAAATACTGAATATTCCCATTATCTATTTCTATGTAGCAAGCCTAAAACTTACCTACTTAAAACAGTTACCATTTTATTTTCACATAATGGTTTGAATCAGAAATCTGAGCAATGCTCAGTGGAGTGGCTCATTTCTTCTCCATATGGTGTCAGCTATGAAAGTTGAGCTGAAACCAAAGTATTCAACATGATTTCATCACATGATGGAAGCCTCGGTACTGGCTTTAACTAAGACAACTAAGTTCTTCTTACAGCCTCTTCCTCTTCACATAGTCTCTCTTTACTCAGTGATCTCTCCCGGGCTTCTTTAACTGTCATCTGGCTTCCAACAAGGAGAAAATGAAAGCTGCAAGGCTTCTAAGGCCTCAGTTGGGAAGTTATAAAACATCAGTTCTCATATTCAATTGATCATATGAAGTCACAGGGCCAATCAGAGATTCAAGGGGAGGGTGAACAGTCTCCACCACTTGACAGTGGGAGTGGCATGTAAGCACTGGGATGGGAGAAACTGATGGCACCCATCTTTGTGAACAATCTACCAGCGTCCACAATCTAACTTTACATTGCCAAAGTCTCCCAAGACTGCCAATGACTCACCCAATTATAATATCAGCCTTGTAGACCAGTATCTCATGATCTATATCAGATCTGAAAGTGTTCCTTGAGTGTGAATTTTCTTAATCTGGAAGCTTAGAAGTTCAATGGGAGAAGAGAGTTGGAGGAATAAGCGAGTGTGAAAGGCCTCAATAATACCTTTATAGAGTCTTTCACTTAATCCCATGTTTTCAATACACTACTCCCACCTTTCCAATGTGTCTGGTATCCCTCAGATCACACACTATCTTTTTTAACCTGCTCTACGTAATAAATCTCCAATAATCTGGGTGAGGCAGGTAGGACCATGCTACCATTCAGAGTTGAAGAAGAGGGAGAAGGAGAGGATTGGAAGACTAAATGCTTCTGAAAGTGCTACCTCTATCTTTATCCTCACTTCTAGAGACATCTGCTCCCAGCAATTTCTGAAGTTTATGAGCATTTCACGGAACAAATTGGACTGCTTTTCAGTTGTGCCTCCTCTTTCTAGCACAGGATGCAGCTAGCTCACTCAGTATGTTCGTCAGTTGCCACTAATGTTTCTCCTTCCTAACTTCCAAACATTTGTTCATATCATCTCTTCTCCTGTCTTTTTTTCTTTAAGTTCAATTTCTAAATCATTTTATAACATTTTAGGTGGGTTTGGGAAAGAAAACATTAAATGCATGTGGTCACTGTCATCTTTAACTATATTTTTCATAGCACAAAATTACAAACTTCAGTTCTTATAGCTACTGTTATTATATATTACTTGAAGTATACACCTGTGATACTGCAAAATACATATTTGGTCTTCATCTCAGTCTCCTGGCATGCAACTCCTAAACTCTTTGGAATCTCCAGAGTGATGTGTCTTTTTGTATGCTAATGAGTTCACTAGTAGCTGGCAGCCCCTAGGTAGCTTCAGGATGGGAGCTGGTCACTGGGAAAAGCAAGGTAGTATTAAAACATTGGAACTTCCAGCCACAAACCTCCCCGGCCTTCAGGGAGGGGAGAGAGGAAAGGAGTTGAAGGTAAGGTTGCTCACTAGTGGTTTAAACAACCATGCCTAATGAAGTTTCTACAGAAACCTTTTTTAAAAACAGGGACTTCATAACCAAAACACCAAAAGCATTGGCAACAAAAGCCAAAATAGACAAATGGGACCTAATCAAACTCCACAGCTTCTGCACAGCAAAAGAAACAGTCATTAGAGTGAATCGGCAACCAACAGAATGGCAAAAAAAATTTTGCAATCTACCCATCTGACAAAGGGCTGATATCCAGAATCTACAAAGAACTAAAATAGATTTACAAGAAAAAAACAAACAGGCCCATTCAAAAGTGGGCAAAGGATATGAACAGACACTTTACAAAAGAAGACATACGGGAGGCCAACAAACACATGAAAAAATGCTCATCATCACTGGTCATTAGAGAAATGCAAATCAAAGCTACATTGAGATACCATCTCATGCTAGTTAGAATGACAATCAAAAAATCTGGAGACAACAGATGCTGGAGAGGATGTGGAGAAATAGGAACACTTTTACACTGTTGGTGGGAGGGTAAATTAGTTCAACCATTGTGAAAGACAGTGTGGCAATTCCTCAAGGACCTACAAATAGAAATTCCATTTGACCCAGCAATCCCATTACTGGGTATATATCCAAAGGATTACAAATCGTTCTACTATAAGGACACATGCACAGGAATGTTCATTGCAGCTCTGTTTACAATAGCAAAGACCTGGAACCAACCCAAATGCCCGTCGATGATAGACTAGACAGGGAAAATGTGGCACATATACACCATGGAATATTATGCAGCCATAAAAAACAATGAGTTCGTGTCCTTTGTAGGGACATGGATGAACCTGGAAACCATCATTCTCAGCAAACTGACACAAGAACAGAAAATCAAACGCCTCATGTTCTCACTCATAGGTGGGTGTTGAACAATGAGAACACATGGACACAGGGAGGGGAGCATCACACACTGGGGTCTGTCGAGGGTAAATAGGGGAGGGACAGCGGGAGGTGAGGAGTTGGGGAGAGATAGCGTGGGGAGAAATGCCAGATATAGGTGATGGGGGGGAAGGCAGCAAATCACACTGCCATTTGTGTACCTATGCAACAATCTTGTATGTTCTTCACATGTACCCCAAAACCTAAAATGCAATAAAAAATAATTTTAAAATTTTTTTAAAAAGAGGAAGAAGAAAAAAAAAACAGGGTCGGAGAACGTCTGGATAGCTAAACACTTGAAGGTTCCTAGCAGGTGGTGTGCCTGGAGAAGGCATGGAAGCTCTTCATCCCTTTCCATTAGCTGGCCCTCTGCATCTCTTCATCTGTATCCTTAGCAATATCCTTTACCATAAACTTGTAAATGTGTTTCCCTGACTTCTGTGAGCTACTCTAGCAAACTAATTAAAGGCAAGGAATCCTAATTTATAGCTAGTTGGTCAGAGCACAGGTAAAATAACCCGGGGCTTGTTACTAGCATCAGAAGTGGGAGGCAGTCTTGGGAGTTGAGTCCTCTACCTGTGGTATCTGACACTATCTACAGCTCCACAGTGTCAGAATTAAATTGGAGGACAACCAGCTGGTGTCTGCTGCAGAACTGATTGATTGGTTGTTGGTGGGGAGAAATCCCCACATACTTCGTGGTGATCAGAGGTCACAAAAGTCATTTGTGTTGATTATTGTGGCATGAGAGCAGAGGAAAAACAGGTTTTTTTTTTCCCACAGAATGCTGTAGCTCGCTGTGTATAACACTACATTGAAACCCCAAAACTGAAGATAAAACTGGTCCAAAACAAAATTTCCTAATACATTAGTAAAAGTTTCCTTAAGCATAGATATAATCAAATTCTATTATTTAATCTCAACTAGGTGAGTTACTCATGAATAATCTGAAGTGGACTGCTTTAAACAAAACTAAGATATGTACTAACATCATGATTCCTTTAAGTTTTTTGCAATTTTGGTTTTACAACACATTTCTCTTAGAATCTTTCGAGAGACAGAAACTAAGTTTTCTGATTTTACATTTTCCTACCTTTTCCTAAAAGAACCCTTGCCTATAATCAATTATCTACTACTGAGTCAATACGAGGAAAAGAGGGGTGATATACTGAAGCCAATACAACTGACTGAGAAAAGTGAAAAAATATAAAACACATTCGTAACGCACAGATAGCAATGTCTTTTGTTATGTGCAATAAAACATTTCTTTCTGAACCAAAAAGCCCTAATGGATGCATCTTCCACTGAAGAAAACAAGAAGCAGTGTCTGAAGTTCTCTTGAATTCATGACACAAAATTCATTATTACCTATTATCATTCTAAAATCCCAGCCCTATGGATGTATAAAAATCCACTCGTGACTTCTATATAAAAAAGAAGTTTATATAAAACATCTATATAATTCTTATGGGATAAAATTGTTCCAGGTGGGCCCCCAATATAATCCCTCTTCTAATTATGTGTATTCCTTAGTTATTCTGATGGTATAGAAAATGGATGTGTGAGCAAAGATAAACACAGAATATTATTTTGCAGTACAAAATAACATCAAGTATTAAACAGCTGAAGTAGTAACATGCTACTTAAAAGTGACTTCTGCCTAGACTAAACTAGCCTTTTTTGTTCCTAAATGAAGTCAAAAGAATTCTAGTGGGACGAGCACAGTGGCTCACGCCTGTAATCCCAGCACTTCTGGAGGCTGAGGCAGGCAGATTACCTGAGGTCAGGAGTTTGAGACTAGCCTGACCAACATAGTAAAACCCTGTCTCTACTAATAATACAAAAAATTAGCCAGGTGTGGTGGCGGTAGGCGCCTATAGTCCCAGCTACTCAGGAGGCTGGGGCAGGAGAATGGCTTGAACCCAGGAGATGGAGGTTGCAGTGAGCCAAGATCACGCCACTGCCCTCCGGCTTGGGCACAACAGAGGGAGACTCCATCTCAAAAAAAAAAAAAAAAAAAATTCTAAAGGAGCTTATAATGAGTTGACAAAAGACATCATACTCTTTTGCCAAGTTTACACACGGCAAACCTAAAACTAGAATGATCTCCATAAGCTGTCTACAGTGCTGAAAAGTAGTTTTGCTCAGCTTTCAAGATAATTTTATGTTGTAACTATGGTAAATTAATATCACAAATAGTGTACAAAAACAAAATAGGACCAATTTTAAACAAAATAAATATCTCTATATATCCACCTGTTTACTACACAAAATGGCTAATTCGAAGTCACTTGCCATTTCTGCGTGAAGGCTTCTGCACTGTCATTGGTGGGCAAGACTGGGCGGATGCTATGTCTGAAGAAGCAGTAGAGCCTGTATGATGAGCCTTTACCTTGTCAGCCCAACTGACACCTGTGGGAGCCAGACGAGGAGCTGGCACTGTGCCAGTTGAACCTCTATGGAGAAAAATAAACACATTTAATAGATTAAATATAAAAGAAAAACTTCTGCATATATGCTAGATATATTTAAAATTTAAATTATGTGTATGAATATCCACATATACAGAATAATAATTTGCCATCGCAATTTAAGGCAAGTATATTCATAAATTTATCTTGATCTAATACTTCATTAATTTTACATAGTATAACATATTATAACATATGGAAATAAACAGAAGAGAATAAGGATTAAAGCCCTCAGTTGTTTCAAAGAAAAATTCACTTAAATGAGGATGCTTTTAAAAAATCATGCATAGGTAACTTAAAGTTTTTATTTTCACTTATGTGTTTTAATGATACAAATATGGGCCAGGCGCAGTGGCTCATGCCTGTGATCCCAGCACCCTAGGAGGCCAAGGCAGGGGGAATCACTTGAGGACAAGAGTTCGACACCAACCTGACCAACATGGTGAAACCCCATCTCTACTAAAAATACAAAAATTAGCTGGGCATGGTGGTGTGTACCTGTAATCCCAGCTACTCAAGACACTGAGGCATGAGAACTGCTTGAGCTCAGGAGGCAGAGGTTGTAGTGATCCAAGATCACACCACTGCACTCCAGCCTGGGTTACTCCATCTCAATTTAAAAAAAAAAGAAAGACAAAAAAAAATATAAATATGCATTAATTTGTCAATCTTGATACAGACACTATTAAACAGGCTTTTTCTTTGTGTACATTTCTTACATGAGCCACAAGCACAATGCTTCACTGACAATATCTAAATTTGGTTCCTTTACAGTGGACTAAAATTCATTGATGTCTATTATATAATTTAATGCACGATTCTCCTTAACCTTAATATTTTCCCTAAACTTTTATAGTTGTCCTGTCTTCTCCTCATTTAACAGCAACAGTTACCTTTATCAAAGCTTCACAAAAATTTATCACAGTTTTCATGAAAACAATGACTCTTTTACACTCATATTTTAATAGTTTACTTAATATTTGAATTATGAGTTAAAATAATGAAAACAATTCACATAAGCCAAGTTTGGTAACACCACATTTGAAGTAAATATATCACTCAACCAGGAAGAGCAGAAGTGAGTAAATATACAAAATGTAGCCTATGAGGCAAAATGTTCCTCAAACTGAAAGTAACAGTATATTCTACAATGATAACGAAGTCTGAATTAAAATGACACAGTTACGTAGAGATCAATATGAGAACTTTTACCACACATGAATTAACAACTTTGAGTGTTAAACCATACACTATATAACATTCTGAACCACATACCAATGAAATGCATTGGAGAGTAAGTTTCCTTAAAATGGTGCATGGATATACAAATGTTTGTTTTCATTTGCATATGTATCCTTTCCCCACTCCACTATGGTTCAATTATTAAATGGTCCCAAAGCCCATCAACCTTTAAAGGCAATACTATCTAATAACTCCATAAAGGAACTTGAAAGCAAAAGTCTGACTCTATGAAACACTTCATCAGCTTTTACTAAGTGCCGTACAGTGCTAGGTACTGAGAATAAAGAGATATGACAATAATCTTGCCTCAAATAAGATCCTAGTATAAATGCAAAAAAAAAAAAATATAGACATTAAAAGAAAAAGCATAAGACATTGCAAATGTAACAATAAAACTGCATCCAAGGTTGAGCAGTAACAAGAGGTGAAAGCTATTAACTGTGACATGAAGTTGGAAGATAAAAAGCAATCAAGAAAAGTCAGGTTTTAACAGAGAAAAGAAAACTGACCAAGCAGACTACTTACCAATCCTTTCATTACACAGCAGATGTTAACACTCACTCTAAATAAACAGAATCCAAAACAACTTAAGTCTTAAAAGCAATTTTTTTGTTTGTGAAAAACAAATGTGACAAATTTTTATTTATTATACTTTAAGTTCTGGGATACATGTGCAGAACATGCAGGTTTGTATATACAGGTATTCATGTGCCATGGTGATTTGCTGTACCTAGCAACGTGTTCATCTACATTAGGTATTTCTCCTAATGCTATCTTTCCTCTAGACCCTGCCCCCGCAACAGGTCCCAGTGTGTGATATTCTCCCCCTGCCCTGTGTCCATGTGTTCTCATTGTTTAACTCCCACTTATGAATGAGAACATGTGGTGTTTGGTTTTCTGTTCCTGTGTTAGTTTTCTGAGAACGATGGTTTCCAGCTTCATCTATGTCCCTATAAAGTACACGAATTCAACCTTCTTTGTGGCTGCATAGTATTCCATGGTGTATATATGCCACATTTTCTTTATCCAGTCTATTATTGTTGTACATTTGGGTTAGTTCCAAGTCTTTGCTATTGTGAATAGTGCTGCAATAAACATATGTGTGCATGTGTCTTTATAATAGAATGATTTATAATCCTTTGGGTATAAACCCAGTAATGGGATTGCTGGGTCAAATGGTATTTCTGGTTCTAGATCCTTGAGGAATCTCCACACTGTCTTCCACAGTAGTTGAATTAATTCATACTCTCACCAACAGTGTAAAAGCGTTTCTATTTCTCCACATCCTCTCCAGCATCTGTTGTTTCCTGACTTAATAATGATCCCCATTCTAGCTGATGTGAGATGGTATCTCATTGTGGTTTTGATTTGCATTTCCCTAATGACCAGTAATGAAGAGCCTTTTTTCATATCTTTGTTGGCCACATAAGTGTCTTCTTTTGAGAAGTGTCAGTTCATATCCTTGACCTACATTTTGATGGGGCTGTTCTTCTCTTGTAAATTTAAGTTCCTTGTAGATTCTGGATATTAGCCATTTGTCAGTTGGACAGATTGCAAAAATTTTCTCACATTCTGTAGACTGCTTGTTCACTCTAATTATAGTTTCTTTCACTGTGCAGAAGCTTTTTAGTTTAATTAGATCCCATTTGTCAATTTTGGCTTTTGTTGCCATTGCTTTTGGTGTTTTAGTCATGAAGTCTTTGCCCATGCCTATGTCCTGAATGGTATTACGTAGGTTTTCTTCTAGGATTTTTATGGCTTTAGGTCTTATGTTTAAGTTTTTAATCCATCTTGAGTTAATTTTTGTATAAGGTGTAGGGAAGGGGTCCAGTTTTCTACATATGTCTAGCCAGTTTTCCCAACGTCATTTATTAAATAGGAAATCCTTTCCCCATTGCTTGTTTTTGTCAGGTTTGTCAAAGATCAGATGGTTGTAGATGTGAGGCATTCTTTCTGAGGCCTCTGTTCTGTTCCATTGGTTTATATATCTGTTTTGGTACCAGTACCATGCTGTTTTGGTTAGCATAGCCTTGTAGTATAGTTTGAAGTCGAGTAGCACGATGCCTCCAGCCTTTTTTTGCTTAGAATAGTCTTGGCTATATGAGCTCTTTTTTGGTTCCATATGAAATTTAAAGTAGCTTTTTCTAATTGTGTGAAGAAAGTCAATGGTAGCTTGATGGGGATAGCATTGACTCTGTAAATTACTTTGGGCAGTACGGCCATTTTCACAATATTGATTCTTCCTATCCATGAGCATGGACTGTTTTTCCATTTGTTTGTGTCCTCTCTTATTTCCTCAAGCAGTGGTTTGTAGTTCTCCTCGAAGAGGTACTTCGCATCCCTTGTAAACTGTATTCCTAGGTATTTAATTCTCTTTGTAGCAATTGTGAATGGGAGTTCACTCATGATTTGGCTCTCTGTTTGTTATTGTTGTATAGAAATGCTTGTGATTTTTGCATGTTGATTTTGTATACTGAGCCTTTCCTGAAATTGCTTATCAGCTTAAGGAGATTTGGGGCTGTATCAATGCGGTTTTCTAAATAGACAATCATGTCATCTGCACGCAGAGACAATTTGACTTCCTCTCTTTCAATCTGAATACTCTTTATTTCTTTCTCTTGTCTGACTTCCCTGGCCAGAACTTCCAATACTATGATGAATAGGAGTGGTGAAAGAGGGCATCCTTGTCTTGTGCCTGTTTTCAAAAGGAATGCTTCCAGTTTTTGCCCATTCAGTATGATATTGGCTGTGGGTGTGTCATAAATAGCTCCTCTGATTTTGAGATACATTATATCAATATGTAGTTTATTGGAAGTTTTCAGCATGAAGGGGTGTTGAATTTTATCGAAGGCTATTTCTGCATCTATTGAGATAATCATGTGGTTTTTGTCATTGGTTCTGTTTATGTGATGGATTACGTGTACTCCATTGTTGAACCAGCCTTGCAACCCAGGAATGAAGCTGACTTGATCATGGTGCATAAGCTTTCTGATATGCTGCTAGATTTGGTTTGCCAGTATTTTATTGAGAATTTTCACATCAATGTTCATCAGAAATAGCACAACTACCTGAGGCTGAAATACCATTTGAGGCAAACAAATGGCTAACCAAAAAACTTAAAAGGAAAAGCTTGAGAATGAGCTATCCATGGGGGATTTGAAAAGTTCTAGCAAATTCCTAAAAATCAAGAAGGCCACACACATATGCAGGTTGTGTGCATACCTAGCAACAATTTGAGAGGACCCTAATGTCTCACCTATGACTTGCCTTGAGGCTTTAAGAAAGGAAGAATTGACAAGCAAAGGCAGTTATAATCTGCCAGAGCATTCAAAGTATGCCCCAACAGACACACAGACCTAGGTGAGAACTAAGAGATTTATTGGCTCAAGGTATGTAAGGAAACCTGTCAAATCATTACTTGATGTTAACAAAACATACTTTGTGGTATAGCTACATACAACATACATCAACATACAGCCATCTTGCATGTAGCCATACAACAATGTATACAGACATCACAGAATGAGTTAAGTGTAGCACTAAACCAACAATAACAACAACAGTTACAATCCTGGAGGGTAGCTATCTGATCTGCAAAGATGTCACATTTTATTATTTAAAACGCCTACTTTTCAACAACAACAAAAATCAGAAGACGTGCAAATAAATAGGAAAGTATGGCCCATTCACAAGAAGAGTAGTGACAGGAAGCCCAGACATTGGACTTTGTAAACAAAGACTTAAAATCAGCTATTAATTACATTTAAAGAACATCCAAGTGGTCAGGTTCAGTGGCTTGTACCTGTAATCCCAGCATACTGGGAGGCCAAGGGGGGCGGATCACCTGAGGCCAGGAATTTGAAATCAGCCTAGCCAACACAGTGAAACACTGTCTCTACTAAAAATACAAAAATTAGCTGGGCATGGTGGCTCAGGCAGCTACTTGGGAGGCTGATGCAAGAATCACTTGAACCTGGAAGGTGGAGGTTGCAGTGAGCCAATATCTCACCACTGCACTCCAGCCTGGGCAACAGAGTGACTCTGTCTCAGAAAAAGAAGAAGAAGAAGAAAAAAACAACGAACATCAAAGAACAAAAGGAAACCAGGTTTAAACAACTAAGGAAAGAAATAAAATTTCACCAAATACAAAATATCAATAAGGAGAGAGTAAATATAAAAAGGAACCACAGAGACATTCCAGAGTTGAAAAGTGTAATAAATGAAATAAAAAATTCACCAGAGGGACTCAGTGGCAGAACTGAACTGGCAGAATAATGTTTCACGAAATGTAAAAGGTAAATTAAGTAATCCCAGCAAGTTGGGAGGCCAAGGCAGGAGGATCATGAGGTAGGTAGTTCGAGATCAGCCTGGCTAACATGGTGAAACCCTGTCTCTATTAAAAATACAAGCAAATAGTTGGGCATGGTGGCGGTCACCTGTAGTCCCAGCTACTCAGGAATCACTTGAACCCGGGAGGTGGATGTTGCAGTGAGCCAAGATCGCACCACTGCCCTCCACCCTGGGCAACAGAGTGAGACTTCGTCTCGAAAAAAAGAAAAAAAAAAATATTTAGTGTGTGGAATAGAAAGAAAAAAGAATGAAGAAAAATGAACAGAGGGCTGGGTGTGTTGGCTCACACCTGTAATCCCAGCACTTTGGGAGGCTGAGGCAAGCAGATCACTTGAGCTCATGTGTTCGAGATCAGCCTGGATTACATGGCGAAACTGTCCCTACTAAAAATACAAAAATTAGCTAGGCATGGTGGCACATGCCTATAAATCCAGCTACTCAGGAAGCTGAGGCAGGTGGCACACGCCTATAAATCCAGCTAATCCAGGAGGCAGACATTGCAGTGAGTCGAGATTGCATCACTCTATTCTAGCCTGGGAAATAAGCGAGACTCTGTC